GCAGCCAGCTGTCCCCCTGCACTGTGGACTCTGCAAGGTAAAATGTATACTGCAAAGCCCGCAGTGCAGCTGGCTCCCTGGGAACAGGGCCGGCAGCCGGTGCGCACCGTGAGCCGGCTTATAAGAGGGCTCCCGGCATGCACTGGCTCCCAGCTCCACTCCTGGGGAGCAGGCTGCTGTCCCCTGCTGCTGGCTCTGTAACAGAGGAATCCAAACCATTTTCTCCCCTTTCTACCTGCTCTGCTGATCCGGGGCTCCAGCGGAATCCGTGATAACTTTTCAAATGACTTCAGATTAGACTTGGCACGAGTTCTGTCTCTTGTATGACTGTTTCCTCCAAGATTTAGATTCTGATCTCACACCAGATTGACCCCCGATCTCACACCGGATTGGCACCTGGGTAGCTTCACCAACTCCTGGTTTACAGCAGCATAAGTAAGCTCAGAATCAGGCCCTGTTATGATTACTGTCTGTATTGCATAGCCTACAAGCCCTCGAAGCAGGGTGCTAGGGGCTGTACAAACAGAACAAAGAGCCAGTCCCTGCCCCAAAGAGCCCCCTTATTATTATTACTGTATCAGAGCCTGCAGCGCAGGGCAGCAGCCGGCTCCCTGGAAGCAGGATCCACGTAGAACGCTAGCTATAAAGTATCGCTATCCTGACACCAATGGCTCACCAGAGAGACCCTCCCTATGTAGCCAGACAAAGGCCGCAGCTATGCTGAGTTAGCACAAGGATGCCTCCCCAAGTTGGAAATTACATCCCCCTGCTGGAACACGGGCATCTCCTAGCAACAAAAGTGGGAGGGGACCACACGTAGGTTCCGATCACGTCACAACACCCAATGGCCCCAACTCTATTTGCATTTTACCTCCCCTTGAGCTGGGAACCCACCGTTTTCCTAGGCCCGCTTGACACGTTCAGGTTTCGCCAGCATAGATCAGCTGGCTAGTGTGAAAAATCCCCCACCCCCACCCCCACGTAGCTGTGCTGGGTAAAGGCCCAGGCGACGTCTACCCTGCTCTCTCTTGCACACGGAAATATGCAAATGAGGTGAAGCGGTGAATATGGCCGCGCCTCATTTGCATGCTTAAATGAGCCGCCATTTTTGCAAAAAGGAGCCGTCTACCCAGATCCTTTTTGCGCAAAAACCCTCCCTTTTGCGCACGAGCCGTTCTTCCTGAAAAAAAGCGGCAGAACGGCTCTTGCGCAAGAAGGGGGTGTGGTGCAAAAAGAAGCTGTATAGATGGCTTTTTGCACAAAAGCCCCTTGTGCAAACAGGGTGGCTCATTAAGTATGCAAATGAGGCGTGGCGATATTCACCGCGTCGCCTCAGTTGCATATTTTCTTGCGCAAGAGAGGGCAGTGTAATTGTAGCCCCAGCGTAAATGCAGCATCTTTCATCAGGGGCATGGTAGCAGCGAAGCCGGCTCTCCGCTAGGAGGGTGTGTGACTAGAGGGGGGTTTGCCAGGGATGCATCACACTCAAGCCCTTGCATACGGCCCTACAGAAGCAGCAGATGTGGACTGAGCAATCCCCGTCATGAGGTGCCTGTAGCCCAGGGCCTGCACTATGCATAAAACAGCCCCCCTTGAACGATGCTGGGATATTAAAGGGACACACGCACCCCACACGCACTGGGGAGGTGAATGGGTAACCATGTACACGGTTAACTGTTGAGCCTGGCTTAAAAGCTGTCTCCCCACGTGCACCGGCTCCCAGGGTGTCAACTGCCCTGCATGTAACTGCTGAAAATGTCAGCGGTTACAGTTACTTAATTAAATGCATTTTAACATGCCTAATGAGCACTTTTTATACTGGTACGGCTGCACCCCTGCGGCCTGGGCTGCTTTCACTATACCAATACACTAGGCAAGTAGAAGCAGAAAGCCAGACCGAAGGGGCCACGGGAAACTGAGGCACGGAGCCGGCAGCTGTTGCCCGAGGTCCGTGGCGGAGCTAGGAATAGGGGGAGGTGTCACTCGAATCTCTCTCAGCAGAGGTTGGGATGATCCCACCAGCTTGGCCCGTGAAGGAGGAGATGGGCTGCAGAAAGAGACAAATCCTTTTAATTCCAACCGACACGTTTAAAAAGAGACAATGTTAAAAAGCTGCAACAAAGTCGATCGAGCTGTGGCGCCACCTCCTGGCTGAGTGCGGACAACGATTTTGGCTGCTTTCAAAACACCTGGCAGAGCTGGTACAATGGAGGCGTCCTTCTAGCTGGTGAGTTTTGTTTTCTGGTGGAGCCTGCTGAGTTTTGATGCGGCAATTAACACAGTCACATGCCCATGCACACGTACAGCGTCTCTCCCTGACACCGACAGCTCAGCTCCCAACACAAGGGAGCAGCTCGGCTTTCGAATTGCTCAACAACAGATTTGCAAAAAGGAAACTGGACCATTTCCTCCCACTTCCAGCTGGCTCTGCTCTTCTGGGGCCCCAGCAGAATCAGCGGTAACTTTGCAATTGGCTTCTAATTAGACCTGGCGAGAGGTTGGCCTCTTGTATGACTGTTTTCTTCAAGATTTAGATTCTGAACTCACCCCACACAGACACCCGATCTCACATCAGATTGACACCCAATCTCACCCCAATTGATACCTGATCTCACATCAGATTGACACCGATATCTCCCCAGATTGACACCCGATCTCACCCGACTGATACCCGATCTCACCCCAGATTGACACCCGATCTCACATCAGATTGACACCCAATCTCACCCCAATTGATACCTGATCTCACATCAGATTGACACCGATCTCTCCCCAGATTGACACCCAATCTCACATCAGAGTGACACCCAATCTCACAACAGACTGACACCCGATCTCACCCCAGATTGACACCCGATCTCACATAAGATTGACACCCAATCTCACCCAACTGATACCTTACCTCACCCCAGACTGACACCCGATCTCACATCAGATTGACATCGATCTCTCCAGATTGACACCTGATCTCACCCCAGATTGACACCCGATCTCACCCAACTGATACCCGATCTCACCCCAGATTGACACCCGATCTCACATAAGATTGACACCCAATCTCACCCAACTGATACCTTACCTCACCCCAGACTGACACCTGATCTCACATCAGATTGACACCCAATCTCAGCCGATTGATACCCGATCTCACCCCAGATTGACAGCCAATCTCACATCAGATTGACACCCAATTTCACACCAGACTGACACCTCCAGAGCTTCACCAATTCCTGACTGACACCAGAATGAGTGAGCTCAGATTCACGCCCTTTTATTATTACTGTCTATACTGCATAGCCTACAAGCCCTCGAATCAGGGAGCAGAGTGCTAGGTTCTGCACAAATAGAACAAAGAGACAGTCCTTGCCCCAAAGAGCTTCCAATCTAGGTAATTCATTTCAAGTTGTTTTCCTTTAACTATCTGTTCCAAACCCACCCCTTTCCCTCAAAAGAACCCTCAGGTCCAAATTCTGCTTTGCTTCAACTCAACGGACTTGTACTGATGGCGCCGAAAGGAGAATCTGGATCTCAGGGCTTTGGAAATAAAAAAATACAGTGTTTCCCGCTGGCCCCCTAGCTCCCAGTAAAACCAGTTCCTCTGGCCCAGTTGCAAGAGAAACAGCAGGGGTAGTGAGGAGCAGCTAGTTTATCACGTGACAACACAACACACAGAAATACAAAAAATATGCACCACTGTCAAGCCCATACCAATGCATACACACAGCATGCCCCACCATGGCTGGGCAGCCGTGCACCCATGCAACAAAGGAACACCCACTGGCAAATTCACGGAGCTCACCACATTCCGCACCCTACACTGACATACACAACCCAGCTGCCTCCCCGCCAGACACCCACCCACCCGTGCAAATGCACCATGTGCCGAAGCGCGCGTGCGACACGCCACGTACACACACACTGACCTGGCACAAATTCACACGCAAGAATGCCACAAACGCACCTGCCAACACATACCAACAAAACACAATGCAACACCCCCTATACAAACACCCCCCATCCACACGCACACGCACAGAAATTCTGTGTCCAGAAACTTTCTTTAAAACTTATCTAAATACGCTTTTTAGGGACACTCACCCATTTCTTTTAATAGGGGTCAAACCAAGGAGTCCTCCAACCTCCCCACTCATTCTGTCTTTGCAGCCTGGCTCTGCTCCAGACAGGGGGGCTGCAGGGAGTGTGGGTTATAAGCTAGACAGGACCTGGCAGGGCCCGTACATTACAACACACACATCCTCAACCCCTGAGCAGCGTAAGATCATTGAGGGAAGGGACGCTCCCTCGCTTATTAATCTCCCAGCTCTAAAATATTTTCAAGTAACAGTAAAAACACAATCATTTATTAAAATTCAGAAGCCTGGGGAGATCTGAGTCCCTGCTGGGCTGGTCCGAAGCTGGACGATCCCCTACCAGCCATACAGCAACTCCTCCATATGGGGAGGGTGAATCCCTGGGGGGGGGAGGCAGGGAAGTGAGCAGCTGCCCAGAGTTGGAAATAGGATTAAAATCCTCTTCAAGACCCTGCCCCCCTGCGGGCCTAATTCTCCGAGGTCCTGCATCTTGTGCGATTCTTTAGCCCCGTGCAAAATCCTGGTGCGACCTCCCGCTTGGCACCCCACGGGGCTGTGCAAAGCTGCTGGCTGCCCCAGTGTGTTGCACCGGGGGAAAGAAGGGCACAGGGTGGGGGTCAGGGCCTGGAGAATCAGGCCTGGGAAGAGGCATCAGGCAGGAGAACAGCTCCATTCGTGTTGCCCCATCATCCTAGGATCCTGCTGGTGCAAGGGAGTTTCCTATTAAAACCGTGGACCGACTCCGAAATAGACACACCCTCCTCCTCTACGTTCCCAGCTCAAAGAGCTGGGATGGAGTTCAGGTCCAGATGGCGGGCGGGAAGGAAGCGGACCAGTCGAAGGAGGATATCTGCCTGCCACTCCCTGCTGTGTGTCAATGCTGGTGTCACCCACTCCTTTGGGGCAGATGCTAATTAACAGGGGACGTTACAGTCCCAGGATGGTGATGGTCAGTTTCTCCTATAGGTGAGCGAGGCAGGACCCAGCCCCAACAAATGGCGGTGGGAGTGGAAATCAGAAGGCAGAGGGGGTGACTTGGACAGGTTGGTTCCATCAGCTTCAGTTCAATTCTCTTAACCTTCCCTGCCCAATTTTCCATCCTCCTCCAAGAAGCAGCTGATGGAAAATGGATGGAGAGCACCCCCTAGGGGTGAAGCGACAGAGCTTCCTCTGGAGGGGAGGGTGGGAACCCGTCAGCGCCCCCTGCTGGCCCTGTGCCGCAGCGGCTGATCCGGAATCCAGGCCTCCCACCGTGGCCACAGAAATGGTGAGTGAGTCGGAAGAAGGATGGGGGAACATCCTGACACAGCGCCCCCCTTGCTTCCCAGTGGGAGAGGCCGTCACCACCATGGCAGAAGGCCGGGGTCTGCAGACCCAGGAGTCGGAGCGCCCTTCGCGCCCGTCTGGCGTCCACGCAGCCCCCCTCAGTATATGGCCTCGTCCATGTTGTCATCGCTGTCGGCCCCAAACTCCTCCCCATTGTCGAAGTAGGACATGATGTAATCCGTCTCCTAGGGAACCAGCAGGGAGAAGGAGGTGAGTCCTGGGGAGGGCGAGGGGTGACGGCCCTCGCAGGGCACGAGCGATGGGGCCCGGGGCCTGACACACGGTGCGACCGCTGCTGGGTGGGAACGGGCTGCTTCACGGCGCGCAGCAACGCGGCAGTTTGGCACAGGAAGTGGAAGGGACGGGCACGTCCCATGGAACCCGCAAGGACAGGGCGGTAGAAAGGAATTAGCCGATCTCAGGCGCTGCAGGGGGATGCTGGGGAAAGTGTCAAAGGGGCGGCCCCAGAGACGGGCAGCACCTTCCCCCCCCCCCAGGGACTCCCACTAGGGGCCAAGGACGCATCTCGTTCAGCCTCTGCCGAGACTGGGGCCAACTGGATTTTGGCGATGTGGATGCTGGCCCGCCAGGAACTAGGATCCAACCGGCCCCACTCAACCCCCCAGCCAGCTGCTTCCCCCTGGGAACGTGAGGCCCCGATCCTGCAGTCCTTGCACAGCCCAAGCGCCCACTCAGACCAATGGGTGCAGGACGGGGCTGGGAGTCTGGCGCGAGCACCCAGAGCGTGTGGCTGGCCGGCCTTCCCGGAGGCACCTCACCTCTTCGTGCTCCTCCTCGTCGTACTCCTCCTCCTCCTCTTCCTTGCCTTCCTCTTCCTCCTCCTTCTCCCCTTCTTCCTCCGACGTCACTTCCTCCTCCTTCTTCTCCAGGGTCTGGGGTGGAATGACGAAACAGAAGCCCAGCGGCCGCTCAAGCCGCAGCGACGCTGCCTGGGCCGTTCCCCGCGCCAGGGCAAGCTGCTGGGGCACAAACACCACCGCCGCGTCCTAATGCCCCTTCCCCCTCCCCGAGAATCCTTCCCGCCGCACCTCTACCCCATGCTGCACACAGGCAAGCAGCCGCCTCTGGCCAGCCCACCAGCCACCGGTACCACATGCCCCTGTGAGCCACCGCCCGCCTGATTCCCTGCAGCGGCGCCCCCCGTGACTACCCAGGTGAGTGCGCCCCAGGATGGAAGGGGTGGGGAGCAGAGGAGCCCAGCAAGCAAGGACACGGGCCCCTTGTGACGCCCAGCAGTGCCGCAGAGCAGAGAGGGCTCCCCAGCCAGGAAAACCGAGAAAAAACATCCTTACCTCCAGTTTCTTGATGGCTTCCTCCTTGTCCACCGGGAGGCGCTGTTTGTGCTTGGGGAGCAGGAGGGATTTTCCTACCGCAGAGGAGAAGGTCAGAACCTGGCCGGACACCGGGGCATT